GAAGAGAACAAAATACAGTCACAGTTTTACTTGTTGTTAACTGTTGTAAACAACACTGTATGTGTGCATATACTGTACAGAGTTTTGCAAAGTAATGCTGTGCTGATAAAGAAAAAAACCTTCATTCAAGGGTTGCAGGGTTGGGGGAGGGGGCAGACCCCATTCTGCATAACAAACTCATCTTCTTTTTTCTGATTTTTTTTTTCTTTTCACCCCCCCACATTCAATTCTCCATAGGACGCCTTCATTTCTCACACAATGCAAATCACTCATGGTCCCTATTCATGCACTGATTAATATGCAAAGACAGCCCATCCTCATCTAACAGTCAGCAGAGAAGAAATATAACTGCCAGCCGAGTCATTTTGAACTTATGGGTTGGAACTATCTGCACTTTTCGATCCAGTATGAAGAAGCAGTGTGAGATGACATGAATTTATGGATAATTGATCAAAAACCACTGCCTTAAAGTATGTCTAATTAATTGTTTGACCTTTACATGATGAGATCTGAAAACAGCCCTAATGACATCTATAATTATTACTCTGCGTTCTTCTGTTCATTTATGTTCTAATTTAAGATTTTGTGGATTAAAGCGGAAAAAAATTATAAAAACACTATTTTGCAATTTGGTGGCGCAGTGGCAAATTATGGGATTACGACAAAATAAAAATGTTGCGCTTGTGGTGCCTTAAAGCCTATCTTAAGCCTAAATGTTCATAAATTACACACCGTTTCTGCTTTCAGGGGCAGCTGTATCGATCCCGCATAGGGCCCTAAGTAGGCTTGAGCCGGCCCTAGTCCTGTCTTTAAAATGGATTTCATCAGTAGTATTGCAATAAAGTGTCTGGCACAATCACTTGACATTTCCTCTATTCATGAATCCCCCTTCATTTTAGTTTACTTTCCATGATTTACTGTTGAGGAATTTGAGGTATGTTCGTTACACCATCATGTAAACAGTAGAGTGCAACATTTTGGGAAATAGACTTTAGTTTCCATTCATTAGTTTCATCCAGTAACAGTAAAATAAAGAATTTGTAAAGTAATTTATTGTTTTAAACGTTACACAGGCTAAAATGACAGTGGGAAGAATAAGGAGCAAAAGTACATGGAAAAAGAGCGTAATAATGAATGCACAGTAATGAATGAGGCTAGTGTAAACTGCAGCGTAGAACTCACATCTGGCAAATCAACTAAAGTTGCAATTATGACTCAATGAGAAGTCATTTTCTGCTGCTGCATTTTGCTTTTAGAACTGTACAGTATCTGAATATAAGATAACAAAGGGTACAGCTGCAATCGGAGCAGCTCCTGCTCTGATCAACATAAGCTGTAATAAATTGGTACAGAATGTGTACATGTCACTTTGAATGCAGCATGGATCTTGTTGCGAGCACAGAGCAAAGTTCTGAGATCCAGAATCTAGTTTTATTCAGAGAGCAGACTAAAAACGCCTTATAATTTTCCCTTGTTTGGCTGCTTTTTCCAGTTCCCCTCAGTCAAAAATAGACTGTATTATTTTCATAGTGGCTTTGAACTCACCACAGCAGTCAAAGTCCCATATGTTAGTCATTTAGGAATTGTGTATTTTCTCTCCCTCAAATGTTAAGTTAAACTTCTTCTTTTTTAGGAGCAGTCTTATACGCTTGATGCACAAAAACATTGTTTTAGATCCAGGGGCTCATTAAATGAACTTCACAGTTCACTTTGTCTTCAGATTCAAAAGCACATGGGTCTGCTTTGCTCTTGAAGTCAGTATATTGAGTTTCATGAAACTGCAGAAATGGAATAGCAGGTGCAGAGCAGTAACTGGGAGTTCAGACCAAAAAGAACACGAACACGTTGGGGGCGAGTCGTTCCAGGTAGTGAAGAAATAAAGAAACTCAATTGAGGAAGTCCAGTTTGAGTAATAGGTGCATGAGTTTGACAGTCTGAAGAGGTTTAAAAATACCACGAGGAAGGATTTTACAAGTCTTTAAAGTAATCACCACGACAATAATTGTATCCTCCATCTTGTAAAGCAAACAGTGGAATTATCTCAATCACGTTAATCAATCTGGAACGTCCACTTGCACGTATTTGAGTGGCCGACATAGTACGCTGCCAGATGACACTGAAGCAAAGTTGAGCCAAGTTCTCTGTATCAGGACTGTCAAACGGTGCTAATGTTTGTGTGAACACAGCTGACTGCAAAAGGACATGAAACAAAAAGTAAAAAACCAAAAAGCTGGATCAACCTCTCAACACCTAGTGACAGAAAATCACTAGCTTCAGGCCAAAAACCTAAAACCGCAAGCAGTCATCAAGTATCACTTCTCTGCCAACCTTAAAGCCATACTTTCAAAGCCCTCAGTAGCAGTAAATCTGAGGTACTCTCACATTCACTCCACAACAGGTGGAACCAACAGTTCTGTTCCTCTGATTAGCCTCCATCACCTTGCACTCTTTCAGGTTGGAGAATGCTCACCATGCATGTGGCAGAGCACTCCAAGAACACCGTGTCAGAGCCGGTAATACACACAACCCAGACACAAAGGCCACTGTCTGTGGCCACTACGAAAAATCTTATTCTATTTAATCCGGCCATTATTGAGTCGTTCCTTGGAGAGTGGTGTGACTCCCGGTCCTGCTGTTGGTTAGTAGCCTCAAAATTTAATCATCACTGAACTGGAACAGGGACTGGAAATCAATAAATGTAATTAAATTGCTCAGCCTTCAAACTGTGTGATACTGTCATTACCCTTTTAATATACCCGGGCCTATCAAATAATGTGATCAATTTCTTAGAATTTCTTCCCCTGTTGCAACAGGGCAGAGCTAAGGCACAGTTGTCTAATTATCTCCCTCTTGCTTGCTTCCTTTTATTTTCCCTCCCATATGAGGTGCGGTGAATTGCGGAGGCGACAGAATATTTCGGCAGGATCATGAATCATATAGAAGAGGATACACACTTATCCCGACTGTCCCTGGTACCACACCGCCCTCTACGCCACTACCAGTGACAGGCTGACAGTGTCTGGGTGGAAATGGTGCCAAAGGAATACCGGGCTTTAAAATGCCTCAAAAATATTCTCTAATAAACTTAAAGCGTTTGTTTCATTCATTTCCATTAGGGTGCAATCAGTTCGGTTGCGTCTATACAGGTTTGCAGATACTGTCAAGTCACGCGAGCTGACACATGAGCACATGACCCATTAGATCCAGGCCAACAACATGGCCCCATTTCAGCTCATCACACATATATTTAATGTTTGTCCACCAGAGGGGACTGATGGTTTATTATTTTAACTTTAAAAAGACAAGCCCAGTACACAGCTCGGTCACAATGACTTCATTAAAAAAAAATGCGTGGAAAGTGTTAAATACACTGTTAGTGTGTCCATGTTATGTCGATGTGTGATAAATCTTTATTACGTTTTAAACTCTCAAATATTGATAAACCTCATAATTCCTTTATGGGCTTTTTTTCTGACGATAAACGTTAGACTGTAGGCAGACCTGTGGAATTCAGAGGAAGAATGGCAAAGTCACAACCTGAGGTCAGACTCACACTGGGAGAATGTCTACTGGAAGAAATTATTATCAAATCAAACTACTCTTCCCCTCTCCAAGGACCCCTGAGGGTCCTCCAACTCCACTTGGAGCTCACAGTTGCAGTCTACAGAAAGAAGGGAAGGGGGCAGATGCAGGGAGGGAGGGAGGATGTGAGGAGCAGAGGAGGTGGGGGTTTATTGGGGGGGTCCCCTCCCGCCCTATATCACCATGGGAGCTCTGGGATTGGATCCCATTGTATACATTGAATGACTATTCAGTAGTCTTCAATGGATGTTGACCCCCCCCCAACCAACCAACCAAATAAAAAAAAAACCTTCGATCAAATCACCCGGGCCTGAGTGTCAACATCATTTTGCGCCTAAAAACGCACCGCGACAATAAGTTGGAAACTCCAGTGTGCTATTTGACAAGAGAGGAAACAAAGGGAACAGAGCTTATGCTGCCACGTACATAAGGTCACAGGCTGATAACCTATACGAGCACTCTCGTGTTAAACTCCAAAATCCCACACTGACACATCCGCGCAGAATACCGTTCCGTGCCAAATCCGATGACGGCCAGAGCCGGAACGCTGCACGCGCCTAATCCACCCAAAAAGAGTTTAAGCGCGTGCTAATGAGACACAAAATCCGAATTTCATCTTGATAAAAAGAAAAAAACCTCCTATAAAGCTGTTTACAGTGGAGCGAAACAAAGCATCCTCGCGCTCCATCCTCCCGGTGCGTCACAGCTGACCCAGCACCGCTAGGGAGCCGAGCTGGACCTGTGCACGCGAGCATACGGCGGTTCCTTTAGCTTTATGTGCTGTTTGGAACCGAACACGGTTGTTTACAAGCAGCCACGGGGAGTATAGGCAGTAGCTGCTCGCCTGAGGGGACCACAAACGCGTCCCCGCATCCCCGGTCCTAATCTCCGCCAGCATCCACTAACCTTTACCCACACCAATCCACTCACGAGCCTAACTCGGATTTTAACAAAAACACAGCACGTGTGCGTAGTTTTCCCCCAAATGACAGGGAGCTACAGTGTGCCCTAACGCAGGGACAGGGAGCCAACCGGACCCGGGGCTGAGTGCTCCTCTGTAATGCGCGGAGACATTCAAAATACGCCGAGGCGAGCGGCTGCTGATGCGAAACTACAAACAGAACACCTCCAAACTGGAATTAAAGGTTGCCGTTTCACGCTCAAGGAGAGGCAAAACTCTCACTTCTTACAAAAAAAAAAAAACTTTTGCTGCATTCGTGGTGAATTTCGCAGAGCACCAGCTCCGACCGACCGCCGCTGTCCGGAGTCAGTGACAAGGATGCCGCCAGCGGGACCAGAGGATGCTGCTCCACAATCAACACAGCTCGGCCTTCATTCCACAGCTTGTGCTCCGGCCACAGCCTCACAATTCATCCCCACACAACCTGATGTGGGAAACAAATAAGTCCGCTTCTTACCTGCACAGCCAATGAATAGCAATCCCCAGATGAGGTCCCTTATTTGAAGCATTGTAATGTGTCACAGATATTCTCCTTGAAGAGCAGACGCACTTTAGAGAAGCGAGGTGTCTCTACTGAAAGGGGGGGCGGGGGGGTAAACAGATATCAGCCTTTCCAGGGATAACAACTGCTACCGGACGGAATTTTGGTCCTTGTCGCTACCCGTGTTCGCGGCACAATGAGTGACAAGCTGCAGCCGTAGCACGCACTCGCGCACACACATGCACTCGGAAGATAGCAACACGAATTACTCCGCCCGGTAGGCTATACCCACACAGGCAGAGACACACACACACACACACACACACACACACTCCGAGGGGGCGGGCTGAGGTGAATGCAGTAACAAAGTAGTGCGCGGAGCTGCCAGTGTAGACACCAGATGGTCACCAGAGGCTCTAATTCGGATTACTGGGTTTACGAACTAGTTTAGAAACACAGAGCAAGACACTTATTTTAAACCGGGGACTAATTAAACGCATGATTCCGATTAAATAAGAACAATGTGAATAAATAAAATGTAAAATGATAAATATTTTATATTATTTCTGACTGAGTACAGAAATCACCAAACCAGCATTTAAATCTCTTGTTACAAACTACATTGTTTTATTTTATCTAAATGTCATATTTGCTAAATGTATTTGGGGAAATTTAACATTTAACAGTTTATGAGCTCATTATTTTAAAATTATTTCATTACAGTTTCCTTAAAATAACTTTCATTTTGTGGTACTAGAGTGTGCTGAGACTTAATTTAGTTAGTTCAAGCAGTTGATTTCCAGAGGAAAAAACTGCTTTATGTAAAATTGCTGAAGAAGCTGCAAACACTGACATATTAATCACTTTGTAAAGTTAATATGGCAAACCTGTTAGCAAGGAGTGGTTTATATGAACATCCAGCCAAATGTAGCAACATTAGCATTCTTTTGAGGTTGCGTTTGTGTCCACCTGATCAATTTTGAGTCCATATTCACTCTGATTTTAGGTCTGTTTTATGAGAGCTTTCTTTCACTGAAAACATGCTGCCTGCGGCTGGAAATGAAGAGTCAAAACAATCTTTCAAGTCATTTTTTTAGTATGCTCCTTCTACTTAAAAAGGTCCAGTGTGAAAGATTTAGGGGGGCTCTGTTGGCAGAAATGGAATAAAATATTCATAGGTATGATTT